TAGCTCTAATACGCGCACTAACAGCACACACACACATGCACACAGGCGCACACACGCACACACGCACACACACACAACACACACACACACACACACACACACACACACACAAACGCATACACACAAGCAACTTACAAAACAGATCGTCTTCCTCCTCGGTTGCCTTAGTATTATCCAAAGTAGTGGTAGTGGTAGTGGTAGTGGTAGGGGGAGAGGGAGAGGGAGAGGGTGTTGCATTGGATTAAAGTGTGGTAAGATTATCAGTGTTTAATCATCGTACGAGTGAGTGAGTGAACCACAGCCAGAATGCGCCGAGTGTAATACACCGGCGGGTGAACCTAAAACCTCCAAACCCTAAACCTTAAACCCTAATTGTGCGAGACTGAGACGCGAAACAGAATAGAACCCTAAACTCTGGAACCCTAAACCCTGAGGAGTTGTCATGGTCGCACATATACCACACACCGCTGCACCACTGTATGTCAACTACCTATGTTATGCACCAGACAGTAAGACGCATACACTCAAGGCATTGGCAGTACAACGAATGTCCTCAGTCTCCCTCAACTGCGTATATAGACCACCAGTATACGCTCAGTATACAAGCAGAGTACATACCACAAGTATATACGATATATACCACCAGTATATAAGATATACACCAACAGTATATAAGATATATACCAACAGTATATAAGATATGTACCTGAAGTATATAAGATATATACCACAAGTATATAAGATATATACCAACAGTATAAAAGATATGTACCTTAAGTATATAAGATATATACCACAAGTATATAAGATATATACCACAAGTATATAAGATATATACCAACAGTATATAAGATATGTACCTTCAGTATATAAGATATATACCACAAGTGCCCGCTCCTTTGCATGCAGAACGTACTAAGCATGACACCATGACCTTTTTCTCTCGCTTGTTTTGCTATCAACTATTAACTGTTGCTCAGGGACGTTGCAGTATACTCTATCTGTATCGCACCACACACAGCACATTGACACGCACAGACAGCCACAGCCCCTTTGCGAAATAGACAGATGTGCAGAGAGACAATGCTCTCAAAGTACGCAGGACAAGGACCAACAAGGCCAGACTACTACGACGCCTGCAAGTGGTGTAGACAGAAGGCATAGACATGTACAAAACAACGTGTGGCTACACACCCACACACACACACACGCACGCACACACGCACATATGTATATACATATA